GACATGCCTGCATTTTTCAGATCACTGATGGGATTACGCAAGAGTTTCGTAAGACTGAAAAATCATTAAATTTTCAACAGCAGAGTTTCACACAATCACCCGAGTGACGTTAACCACAAAACCCATCAAACCTTGCTTGACAAAAACAAACAGCCAAGAAAAAGGACACTCAGTGCGCTCCATGTGTGCACAGACAAGCCCTGAAAGCCCTCAACACAAGGAAATCATTAAAATGCAAGGATTTGACACATTTTCTTAGCTTAGATAAGCTCCAGCTAACAAGCAAAATCACTTCTACAAATGCCATGAATTTAATTAAAACATTACTAAGAAAAAAAAATTGTAGTTACCTGAATTACATCATTTCCACTGAACCAATTCAAGTAAAAATCATACTTTCATGCGTCTCATCTCAGCTTGACTTGTTTTTGGTAGCTGGCGTTTTCCCTCTACCTCCTCAAAGTTTGCTGGACTCTCACTGATAGCAATGTCACACAGAACTGAAGAAACATCCACGTGATCACACTACAAACACAGGAACAACAGAGGATATCCACGAATTCACTTCTGCTCCTTATCCAGGTCGTGATCACAGAGGCAGCAGCCTGAGCAGAGCTGCAAAGACCTCCCTCTGACATGCCATCACCTCTAGCTCTTCCAGCTATCTGTCAAGGCGTTAACAAGCCACCTGAGAGACACAGGCTCAATTTCATACCTCCTCACTCTGTGATGAGTCACCCTTGTGGCTCCTGGAGGGTCTCTTAATTAAGGTCCAGAGGTGAACACCCAAAGGCAACAGGGTGCATCTACACAACAAACATGTGGCCTTCATAGTATGCCACGGGACGAGGGCTGCTTGATTGCCTTCCATTGCTCTGCACTGGATCTACAAGACTTTGGCCTAGCACCATAGACAAGCATACCAGGTAAACACATCATTTTCAGGGATCTCCTAACAAACTGTTAGAGGGAAATACAGCAGGAAGCTGTGGGAGGTCCTCTGATGCTGAAAAAAAAAAAACAACCTCTAACATCATCTTGATGCATTTTATGTCACTATCAAGTAAAAGATCATGTCCACCGCTAATTGAAAAATGCTGTAGTACATTTCAGAAATGATAAAGAGTCTTGGAAAACTTGACCTCTGACCTTGACCTTAAAGGTTGAGGTCACTGAGATTCATACAGTGGGGCAAAAAAGTATTTAGTCAGCCACCGATTGTGCAAGTTCC